TCATCCCTGGAACTGACTCCCACAAGCTGTTCTGACTTTCACCAGCAAGGTGTACTCACACAGACACACTAAATGTAATGAGAGGGAGAGAGAAAGGACTGGAAAACTGAAAACCTGGTACCTGAGTACAAACAGTGGAGACAGGATAAGGATTTTGTCTTAATAGGCTACCAGAAATTGAGGTTGCAGGTACAAGCTTGGAGAAGAGACACACTACCTGGTGGGACTGCAGGCCAATGATGGAGGAATAGGCCTGGATTGTTACATAGATCTCAGGCTGGAAGTCGATGCAGGATCCAGGCACTCGGAAGGGCCGAAGCAGCCCACCCAGACAACGGGACAGAGCATGGAAAACTTCATCAAACAAGATTTCCCCTGTGGAATCATCCTGAGGATAAGGAAAAGAGAGATCTGACAAGGGTGTCCAAAGCAGCTCTAAGCAGAGTACAGAAACAGGCAGGTTTCCGGGGCCAGCAGCACCACTTTCTTATGGTCGACTATGCCCATGGACAAGGAATAGGCTGTTTTTTAATGCCCATCATTCATTCACAGACTTGTCCTTCTCCCAGCTCTCTCTCCGTCTCATTCCCATCCCATCTGTGTTACTATTTCCCTCAAACCACTTACCACAATGCCAGTAGATGGGCTAAGGTCCAGCTCAATAACAAAACGATATTGCCAAGCCAGGAAGGTGACCCGGGTGGAAGGGACAAGAAGGAATGGCCTTGGAACCACTGGTTCATCTGGCTGCCAACCAGGGGGCAAAACACTGAGGACTTCCAACTCCTGCTCAGACTGAAGCTGACAAGATGGAAGGGAAAGAAAGGGTTATGGGCAGGAGAGACGACAGCTCAGTGCTTAAAAAAGCGTTTGCTCTCAAAAGAGCCACTGTAACCACCTGTAACTCCAGCTTCAGGGCACCCAATGCCCTTTTCTGCTCTCTGTGGGCATCTATACACATGTGACATACACTCACACACAGACACACATGTGACATACATACACTCAAACTGACACATTAGAAAAAAGTTGAAAGAAGGTTGAGGAGATTTTCTTTCATCTCTGAGTCCCAATTTGGCCAGGTCAGAGCTGTGAGGCTGCAGAAAAAGCACTCAACCTCTTTAGCATCAGAGTCCTCCCCTGTACAATGAACACAATCCTAACACCAACGTAAAGTGCTGCTATGCAGTCCAAGGGAATCCTGAACATGAAGTGCTCCCTAGACCTGCCTCCCATATCCAAAGTGCCCCTTCACTGGCCCCATCTTCAATGAACCAACCACACATCCTTTGCCTCACTAGCTAGGAAAAGGATGAACAAATTTCTCATAAGGAAGCAGTTTTTGGGTAAAGCTACCGCCCCTCCCAGCCTTAGAGCTCTTTTTTTAAAAAAGCCTTCTGGGCCATGCCCTCACCTCCCACCTGTCACTATGACATACCAGGAACTCTTGGGGTGTGGCCTGAACAGTTTGATGTAGATGATTAAGGAACCAAGCCAGGCGAACATTTCGGGAGATTCGATAATCCTTTTTCATTAACAGAAACACCTGCCCAGCTTCTTCTACCTAATGAGAGAGATGGGGGGGGGGGGGAGGAAGGACACTGAGTTCCCAGTCCATACACATCCCATGCAAGAGCGCCCAAGGGGCCGACGGGGGGGGGAGGGGGGGGGGGGCCCCCCCCAAAAAAAAGGGTTCCCAACACAGACCCCACATAGAGGAAGGGAACTTATCTTCTTATGACATATTTCCACAAGAGTTTATCTTACAAACTATAAGCTCCCAAAGGTAAGAGAGGTGCTTTGTTCTGCTTTTGTGCCTTGCACTTGGCAAATTCACTTACAGGAGACACAGTAAGTACCCACTCTGCTACATGAACACTTGTCTGTAACCTTCTCAGCCTTACCCACAGCAGACATTAAAGAAACCTTCGCTGAGTGCATTTAAGGGTCCTGAGTGAATGAAGTATCTGAGGTGTTGTCTCTTATTGAGCTCCTGTGGGTCACATTCTCCACTCAAGCGCCTATCAACTGTCAATGCTTTAGATGTTTCCCCTGAGCCTTCAGAGGTGGTCAGTTCAACAGCATCCTCATTTTTCTACTATACAAACTCCTGCCAAAGACGCCACAGGACATATTATCTATCCATGCAAATACGATGGCAGTTGTACTCTCACAGGAAGAAACCTGCCATTTTGTCAAAGCAGTAAATCTTAATAGGCTTGACTTGTTGGTTAGCAGCTTTTCTGATTTTCCCCAAGTGTTTCCACCATCACCCCAAGCCTGTATTCCCAACAGACCAACTTACCTATCACTCACAAAAGCTGAATAATCACTCCAATTATTATGCCATTACAAATTGAATAAGCATGCTAATGGATAAGAATGTGGTTTTATGACAACAGGAACAAAGTAGCCTGGTCCTGCCTCGCCTCTTAGGAAGATGGGATGATGAAGGCCCAGCAGAGCCAGCTAGGTGAGATGACCAAAGGAGGGCAGAGACCAGCCACTGCATTACTGAAAGCACATTTGAGAACCCAGTTTCACAATGTACAGCTTCCATTTCTCTCCCTTTCTCTTGCTCTCAATGCCGTTCTGAATGGCTGATTTCTCCAAGGCCGAACTGAAGTCTGGCTCACCCTTACAGAATCATCTTGAAACCAGGAATGTTTGCCTAGCTTTCTGGGAAAATTCCCCTTTACCTGTGATTCTTGGATTCAAACATTTCCTGAACCTCCTAAGTTGTCATATATTCCAGATGTACTTTATCAGAACCAGAAGGCTGGCTTAATATAATTTAAGCAGTTGGAATGTTTTTCAAAGTGGGATTCAAGCACCAGTTGCATAAGAATCAGCTGAGTTGCTTATTAAAACGCACATTTGATTCCTGGGCACCGTCAGAGACCAAACAAAGTAAGAGCTGACAGAGATCAAGAATGTACATCCTAACTAGCTCCCCTGGGGATTTTTCCATATTACTGCTTGAGATTTTTTTAATTAGGTATGTTTCATAGCATTCACATTCATATGGAGCTCCAGGACCTCAATCTTAACTTCCCTAACTTTCGAAGCAGTCTGATAAATAAGACAAATCAGGCTTTTGGAGTCAGAGACCCAGCTTCTAATATGTTCTATTATAGGTTACCCTTGTGATCTTGCAGGTTACTGAAGTTTTTTTTTCCAGGCTTCAATCTCTTTATTGTAATATCAAGATAAGGATATCTTTGTAGGGATATTGCAGTTAAACAGGGAGGCAGGTACAATGGCAGCGGAAGGCTATCATTGTTTAGAATAGTCATTGAGGCCTACATAACATTTATGTCAAGCTGAATAAGGTGCTGCCAGGCACTGTGCTTCCTTTTTTCTGGGTTCTGTTCTTGAGTCTTTCAGATTAGGGGTCAAATTATTCTCCGAGCCTTTTCTAAACCATGTGCTGTCTTCCACAAAATAATGTAGATAGCACCCCTCCTATCTGAATCCCTTCACCTGAACTTCTAGCATGACTTCAAGTTGAACAGTTTCTCTCCAAGGTCTCAAACCCCTCACCCACCACTACAGTAAAAGCAGACATTCAAGAGTGAACAGGGATAACATGAGGATTGGACCTGCATTAGACACTCAAGAGAACTTAAAACTTTGAGTTCCACTAACTGCTTATGGAAGAAGAAAGTTAAATGCCCCACTAAACTTTAAACATCCTCACTTGCGCCTCTGCACCTATTATAACCCAACACCCACTACTCCTCAAAGCTAAGGAGTGTATCAGCCTTACACTCTGCACCCACAGTAACATGCAGCACAACTTGGGATCCAGAGCAGCACTCATTTCTCTCTTGGGAGCCTAACGTCTCTAAACACCACGTTTTCTTCTTGGTATTGTTTCTACACTTCTCACTGCGTTTTCTCTTGTGTAGTTTCTTTATCACATTCACACACAGACATATACATATATGTGTATTTTGTGTGTGCGCGCATACAAGCACATGTGTCATACTGCACATGTGCAGGTCAGAGAGCAACTTGTATGTCTAGGGCTAGTCACCCATTTGGGAGTTCTAGCCCTAATACCAGCTGTGCAACTGTGTTTCTTTTAATAGCTGCCCCTCAGTTTCCTAAGAAGGGGGATGATAATGGTGTTTACCTTATAAGATTGAAAACACTGGTAACAGTTAAGTGCTCAGAATGGTGGCTGGCATAACGTGAACCATTCCTATTTGCATCATTATACACGTCCACCACTCTTCCCTCCTAAATATTCTTGTGTGGTCCTGGCCATTCCAGCCAAATCTAAGGTCTTGTTTCCTTCTCAGACCCTCGGATTTGGCTAGAATGAGTAGTCCTAAGGTATCTTAGGATAAGGCACCTCGTCTGCTTGACTTTACAGTTTTCTGCTCTGCATACGAGAATTAAATATTGCCAGATTTCCTACACGAGTTCTTCGCATCTAAGAGGTGCCTCATCTCACTTAACTTGTGATCCCCAAACCACACCACAGAGTAAACATTTTTATAAAGAAGGGGAGTTAAGACTGCTATGACGGCTGCAGGGCTTTTCAAAAACGCATAGACGCTAAAGCGAAATCAGCTCAAGCTATTGATTACATTCCAGTTGATGAGATGCAAAAACCCGCAAGGTCGGTCAGCTTCGGCGTGGCCCAATGAAAATCGCAATTAATAATCCAAACACGAAGCTTTTTTCATTAAAACTATCTCTAGATCTGTGGGTAGGAGATGAGGATCAGGATGGCATCTGAGTAAACAAAACAGCTACGGCCTCCTCGAGGCTCCGGAGGGTGGAGGCCACTACACGCCTGCCCTCGGGCCTCGGCCCCGCGCCCGCCAGCCCCTCACCTCTGGCTCCGGGCGCTCCGAGGCCATCACACAACCCTCCCGCGCCGGCCCGGGCCAGGGAGGATGCTCCACTCCTGACCTCTGACCCAGCTAGCTCTGCACCGGGCAGGAACCGGAAGTCGTAGGGATGGCCGCGTTCTGAGCTTCCTGATTGGTGGGCACAGACGGCAGCCCGAGAAACCGGAAGAGGAAGTGGTTGCGCCAACCGGGCCGTGGCAATGCAGGTGAGAAGCCGGTTGGGCCTCCCAGCCGTTCGCCACCGGCTGGAGGTTGGGCGGGCCGAGGACTCTGGGAAGTTGGAGCTGTGAGGTTAGGGCAGAGGCCTCGGCTGTTTGGGGAAAGGCAGCGAAGCGGGAAGGGACGAAGACAGCTGCGAGAGGCGCGGGGATTGAGCCCGCTGACGCGAGAGGGTCAGAGGCGGGAGTTGCGGGGGGAGAGGCAAGGCCGACTTGTTTGACTGTGAAAGGACCGAGTTAGCATTTGGGAAGGCTCGAGAAAGAAGTGGGCTGACACCAGTCCTCGACCTAGACTGTTGGACAAAGGCGTATCAAGGCTTCAGAAGGCTGAAGGGATTGTGGGCCGGCAAGGACGAAAACTAAGCTGTTTGTAATCCGAGGCTGTGGGTGGAACTTATTATCCAATCTCATCATTCGCATTCTCGGGTTTGCGAATCAGCTGTGTTTCATTCTTCCCAGCTTGTACCTACTCATTTGCTTAGGACGCAGAATTGGAGTAAATAGACCACAGATGGTCGAATGGAAACCCTCTGACTACTCAGCATTTAAAATTGTCTAACGTCCAGAAACAATGTGTTGGTTTCCTCGCCTTTGACTTTCATTACTCAGTTTGCTGCACCTGGTAGTCCTACAGTGAGGGTTTATGGGTCAGTCGAGTTTACGAAAGAGACACTGGAATACTGGCACAGATACATGAGTACACATTGACTCAGCAAATGCAAAGGATAAAGGACCGGTTGGGGAGGGGAACTGCAGAGCTGGTATTCAGAGACAGCCTCAGATACAGGCAAAATGTGAGATTCTCCATATTGTGTTGAGAGTAGCTGCACTCACAAGGCAGAGGATAATGGTGTGCATGTACTACACAGGCACCCATGAGATAATGACCATCAGGTATGCCTTCTGGCCTTATATGCTGACAGCACTCCTGTTACATGGCAACCCTTTCTAAAATGTACTGAACTTTCTGAAAGAAATGTGGCAATACCAGTCCCACAGAGTGACACAATACGAGGATTCTCTATAGGCCCAAGGAAAGCAGAGTTAGTACATAAAGCAAAAGTGTGGTAGGCAGACTCTATTTTCCAGAAAAGGCTAGACTCACAAAGAAGATTGTGCTTTGGCTTGAGCATTTGCAGATCTAAGAGAATGTTGGCTTTTTAAGAGAGGCAAGCATTTTGAGCTGGAAGGAGAAGAGAATGGAAATGGAAAGATAAAGGGCTAAGTGATACAGTTCTAAGCCAGTTTTGTTATGAAGACAAAATCATGAGGTCATAAGCAGGAGGGAATTAGGTCTGGTGCAATGTTCTTTTTGAAGGACCATAGTGTAGGAGGATGATAGAAAGAATCAGTTGGTAGGAGGACTTCAGGCCAGGTGAACAGGTTGAAAGGTCTAAGGGTTGATGCTGTCTGTAACCCAAATACCAAGATAGAAAACAATTTAGCTTTTCTGTGTGTGTCACACTCAACTCGTATCTGAGTAACCAAACATACTATTGATGCAGAGGGAGGAGAAACAGCTTGAGGCATCATTAGATGCACTGCTGAATCAAGTGGCTGATCTGAAGAATTCGCTGGGGAGTTTCATTTACAAGTTGGAAAACGAGTATGACCGGCTGACCTGGTAAGAATTGCCAGGGCAAGCCAGGGAGGGAATCCATGGGTGGTGGGGCCAAGCCCCCTGGCTGACAGAACATCTCCAGTGATGTAACTATTTATCAGTTTGCAAATATCCTTTTTCATTTGGCAAGAACTAGGTTGCCCAACATTGACAAGTATAGTTTGGCTTAAAGCCTCCATGGCAAGGAAGTAGAGAAATGCCCAGTTTCCCAACATAGGTTGTTTCGAGGTTTTAATTCTTATGCTTTGACTTCTTTGGTGAGGAGGTATTTCCCAGTGGAGGACCATTAAAGCTATATTCATGCTGGATCTCCTTCCGCATATGTGGCTGAATCTGAGATACACTCTACTCTGGAATGATGGCTTCTGTTGCCTAGAAAGGAGGCTTTTATCTACTTAAAGAATTTTTAGTTACCATAGTGTAACCAGTTTCTATTTTCCACTACTTCCAATCCTATTGCTCTTGTTGGTGGTGGCACACTTCTTTAATGCTAACACTCAGGAGGTAGAGGCAGGCGGATTTCTGTGATTTCGAGGCCAGTCTGGTCCTCAGAGTATGAATTCCAGGACGCCAGGCTACACACAGAAACCCTGTCTCAAAAAAAAAAGCAACTTTTTTTTTTTTTTAACGTCTGTGTCAGAAATTGAAAGTGTGTTCCTTTTTCCCAACTCCGTCATATCTGCTAGCAAATCTGGTTCTTGCCTAGGCTAGTCATAGGGCTGTGAGTCTTCTGGGGGTGAATCTGGATGTTCTAGCATTAGAACTTTAGAGATTTCTTTATAGGGAAAAGTAGTTCTGATGACTTCCTACCACCCCCAGGCCCTCTGTCCTGGACAGCTTTGCATTGCTCTCTGGACAGTTGAACACTCTGAACAAAGTCTTAAAGCATGAGAAGACACCACTGTTCCGTAACCAGGTCATCATCCCTCTGGTGCTGTCCCCAGACCGAGATGAAGACCTCATGGTAAGAGGAAAGGATTGAACCAGGGAAATTAGGTCCTTAAATGAAAGTCTGGAGTACAGTTGTTGATTGGACCCTCTGTATAGCAATGAAAAGGACTGTCTTATGGAAGACTTGCTTTTTTGTCCTTCTGGAGGCAGGAGTCACTCTTAAATAATGTTGTGAAAACCAAGGCCATGTCAACTAAGTCCATGACCTTTCTTTTTTAAAAAAAAAAAAGTCTGTTCTACCTGCCTGTGACTTTGTCCAATCAGTCTTTAAAATGTGAGGTTGGGAATTTAGCTCAGTGGAAGAACAAAATCCTGGTTTGGTTCCCAAAATAGGGAAGGAGAATCACAAAAGACCAAAACAGAACAACAACAAAAAGAAAATTACAGTGTGGTTGTGGAGGGTGGAATTTATTTTGCCCTAGTTCTAATAGAGTGTATGTGAAAAGACAATGCCACAGAAAGCTACATTTGTGTCTCAGGTAGTGTTGTCTTTGCAAATGCAGATTCCTGTGGAAGGGAAACTGGGTTAGAATCAGCTTACTTGGATAGCACAATAGGATCAATACAATCTGTGTTACAGCGTCAGACTGAAGGACGAGTGCCTGTTTTCAGCCATGAAGTCGTCCCTGACCATTTGAGAACCAAGCCTGACCCTGAAGTTGAAGAGCAGGAGAAACAGCTGACAACAGATGCTGCCAGAATTGGTGCTGATGCAGCTCAGGTTGGACTGAGTCACTGCCCTGCTGCTCCATCCCCATCCCTTCATAAGAAGCAAGACTTTACCAAGCTGTGTAGTAGGAGTGTGTGATTGGTTACAGCTGGGCTGCCTCTGGAAGAGCACAAGAAAGATGCTTCCCTAGAGTCATTACTAATCACCATATCAATTCCTGTGTCTTACAGAAGCAGATCCAGAGCTTGAATAAAATGTGCTCAAACCTTTTGGAGAAAATCAGCAAAGAGGAACGAGAATCAGAGAGTGGTGGTAAGGAGGGATGGTTGGCAGAACAGAGTGAGAACTGTATAAGATCATAGAATAGGAATGATTGTCTAATAGTGAATGAACTGCTGGGGCTGACAAGATGGCTCAGTGGGCAGCACACCTGTTTCCTGGCCTGACCTAAGTTTAATTCCTGGGATCTATATGGTGGAGGGAAGAACCAACAAGTTGTCCTTTGACCACCACACACAAAATCAGTAAATATGATTTTAAAAAAGAATGAACTGGCACAAAAGGGGTCTGTATCCTGTTAGTGTTTTATATTTAAGACTAGTCTTAAAGCAAGTGGAAGAAATGGACAAAGTGAGAATTAAAGATAGGTTTGGGGACTTTGAGCTCTTTGATGGGGCTGGAGGGATTCTAGGTGTTTCTGTAGTCACAACTGTAAGCCTGGTGGTCATCATTGGCCTCCCAGCTGCTGGATTTAGGCCAGAGTAGAATACACACTTCAGGGTTCTTGCTTTTTTTTTTTTTTTTTTTTTTTTTCAGGTCTCCGGCCAAACAAGCAGACTTTCAACCCTGCAGATACTAATGCCTTAGTGGCAGCTGTTGCCTTTGGGAAAGGGCTGTCTAATTGGAGACCTTCAGGTAGCAGTGGTCCTGGCCAACCTGGCCAGCCAGGAGCTGGTACAATCCTTGCAGGGGCCTCAGGATTACAGCAAGTTCAGATGGCAGGTGCTCCAAACCAGCAGCAGACAATGCTCAGTGGAGTCCAGATGGCTCAAGCAGGTCAACCAGGTAGGGTGACAGGCTAACTGTGCAGGAGTGTGGGAACAAGCTAGATGAAGCCTCTTTCCACTCCAGCCTTGGAGATTTTCCTCCTTGCATTGTCACTTAGAAGACAGTTGGAAGCTTTGCAACAGGTACCAGAGAGTGAAGAAGGGCCTTGGATAGCAGAAACTGGTGTTGCCTTTTACTTCCATCTCAGACTTTTGTCTCAACTGTCCTCTTGATCTGGATGTTAGTGTGTGTCTCTTAGAGAAGTAAGTGAGCAGACCTTGATCGAGACCATTCGGTAGATAATCAAGAATCAGCACCTGGCAGTGTTCTGGGTCTGCGTGGATTCTTTCCTTGCACCCTGTCCCTCGGTCTTGGCTTCCTACATCACTCATGCTCACTTCTGTTTACTGGAGGGCTGCACAGGAGCAGCTGCAAAGGTGTTCCTACATGCTGTCTAAGGAAAAGGACAACTAAAACAACAGAGAACACAGTACTCTTTACCTGTGATATTAAACAGGGGCCACATAGGCCACATAGGTCTTTTCCAGAGGTAGAAGAGCAGAAGCCCATGGGGGGTGTGGAGTAGGGACTCTTCGGACCCCTTCTATCTTCTTTCAGATCACCCCTTTCCTCCTAGATATCTTCAGTGAGGGAGCTGGCTGAAGAGCCACAGTCTGTAATCTCTGCCATCCAGAATCAGAAGCTGCAGAGGTTCTGAGATATAGGAGTTGACAGGAATCTGAGAGGCTCCATTTCTGATTTATTGTGAAATGCCTTTCTTTGTGTTACTTTTAGGGAAAATGCCAAGTGGAATAAAAACCAACATCAAGTCAGCTTCAATGCACCCCTACCAGCGGTGAGTGTGGACAGCAAGCAGCCTCCACTCTCAGGTGATCTGTGCCGAGTTGGGCAATGAAATTGTCTTTTGCTCAAGGCTTACCTAGATGGGTACAATAAAAAAAACACAGGCTTTCAGCAAGAGACAAATCTCAGCTCCACTGTGAATAGCTGTGTGAACTTGGGAAAGTGACCTAATTTTTCTGAGCCTGTGTTCTCATTTGTAAATCATGATAATACCTACCTCATAGGGTTGTTGTGAGGATTAAAATGAGAAAATGAATGTAAAACACTTAGCATGGTATATGAAATATTGGGTCTTGAATAAATGATCGTTTCTTACTTTTCCATCCTGCTATTCACTGTCCTGTACCCAGAACTTACTGTGATTCATACAGCTCCATGACATTGGCGAGCTAATAGATACAGGATCAAGTAATCCAGGAACCAGGGCAGCCTGTATGTTTTGGAGGTGTATTGTTTCTGTAGACTCTCCTGCCTAGGTTCCATCCTGCTGGCTCCATCCAAGCTGCAGGCAAAGAGGTTTCTGGGCTGGGACACTGTCCACCTACAGGTCTGATGAAACCAGTTCAGCTTTTACCTGGGAAATAGGTAAAAGCACCCATCTTTTACCCTGCTCTGCTTATGAAGATGTCTAGGGGCCAGTAGATGGGAGATTTCTTAGGAGGTGACCTCGTCAGGCAATAGCACACATAAAATACCATCTTCTGCCTTTGAGAGGAGTTGGGCTTCACACTGTCATTCATCAGGGTTTGTTTGTCCTTCCATTTCCCTAAACATGTGGCTCAGATAAGATCCAGATTGAAAGTGGGAAGGGCAACAGCCTCATTCACCTTGCCTGCTTTTGTAGAGTTGAACTGAAGTTTTGAACAGGCAGCCATGTTGCCTTTCTCAGCATTCTTTTGTGGGCAAGGGCAGGAATTGAGTCAGCAGAAGTGGGCCAAAGGGTTTCTTTGTTCAATAAAGTTATTTAAATTGACGTTTACTGGCTCAGGGTTGTCTGATTGAAATTTATGGATGATCTACCAGGCAATTCTAGTTTGTTCTCCTTAAAGTGTTCCCATATCTTTAATTTTTCTTGTATTTAAAAACACAAAGACTTCCTTCCAGCTGCACTGTTTACGTTCTGTCACACACTAGTGCTCTGGTCTTTGATCTTTGTTAAACAGCATTCTACCAGGCTGTGGCAGCAAAGGCTTGGAAAAGTGGTCCTCTGTTGCTGGTCTATGGAGACATGAGTGGTGTTGACAAAGGTAATTGACCACAACACACTGCACCAGGGGAGTTCTGTTAACTGCTCTGAGGCAATGCCAAACCTCTTCCCCACTTAAATTGGCTGGCCCATTAGCCCATCCAGGTGTGGTTTATCTTCTCATCTCTTCCCTTCCCACTATACATCAAAGCTAACTGGGGTATTGAATAGAATTTAGCTGGACATTTCCAGACTCAGTATCTTTTGGTGACTGCTATCCTTTACTCCACCTGTAACCAACTCTGGGAGTCTTCATTGTCCTAGATGAACTGACTTCATTCCCACCGTACTATTAAAATGGCTTCCTTGTCCTCCAAGAACAGCAATATCTCTCTGCTGCAGGAGGAACATTGAGGTCCTCACCTACATCTCAGGCCTTTAAGCAAACCCTTGGGTGGTAGAGGCACCCACACCTCTGTTATTTGCTCAGGTAGCAAATGTCATTTCTACCACCTCCTCCCTTCAGAACTCCAGAGATCTCAGCATACAGACCCGATGATCTCCCATTCTGGGGCTCATACCAGTTCACCCCACAATGGAAAGAATGTCTTTCCTACTACTTGGTCTCTCAGGAGGAGTGTATATGGAGTTGCCCATGAAAAAGGCAAAACTTTACTTGCTCAGATTTGGGTTTTGTAGATGACTTACACTACTGTAGCATTCCTATTCTTGACCATCATCTTCTGCTTGGGGAATGTACTTTGTGCTGCATTGGGGGCCCTTGGACAAGGGGATCAGGTGGACAAAGGTCTGCTCCATTGACTCCCAGCTTTGTTCTGGGATGGAGAAAGCAGCAGCAGGTGTAAAATGTCAAGCAGTTCATCCCACTGAAGGTGGAAGCTTATGGAATCAATGTCATGCCCAAGGAGGTTGCCTAAGACCTCTCTCTAGTTCTGCCCCGAGGCTGGGATTCAGCCATCGATGATTGCCCTGGTCACCTGTTCTTCCTCTTCTCCCAGTGTGAATTGCTGTCCTACTTAACTGCCTCATCATACTCAACTGTACCTTTTGGGGACAATAGTTAAGATAGGTAGGTTGTAGTCAAATGTTCCTTGTAGCTCTGTAGAGTGCAGCACTAGTACAGGCTAGAGAGGACATGGTTGTCAACCTGTGACCCTGCTGAAAGGAAGAAGCTGAACTCAGCAGGAATGCCCCCATGTGAGGCCCAGCTCTTTTCCACCCCCTCCACACCTCCCCCAAGCAGCTGGAAACAACCTCTCCCTTTGTCTGAGTTTCTTGTACAGAATAATCCTCCGTATGGACAATGTATTCTCTGTGTCCTGTGGACACAGAAGCCGTGTGCGCTGATCCCAGCACTAGGCAGGACGGAGGCTGAAGCCTTCCAAACGCCCACCCTGCTCAGCTCCTGGTTGATGTCCAGTGGAACTACTAAGGGTTGGACATTTTTTTTCCTGTGTGCTCCAGATTGGAGTGGCAGCAGAGCCTTTTTTGGCTTGTCACTGGCCAGAAGAATGACCAGGAGTTACGCCTTGAGTGTTAAGCACCAACTTGTAGAGAAAGGTTTGATGTGATTCTTTCCTCAAAGTCTGGAATGTGCAGAGTCTAGCACTTAGAAAATGATAGGACCCGAAGTGACTTGCCTGGCAGGCCATGGTGCTCTGTTGTGTCATATGGACATCAACATTGTACTCTATTCAAAGGACAAACTTCTTTAACAATCTGTCCCTCTTGTTCCTGATTCCCATGTGTCGCTGAGGCAGAGCCTGGGTTCCTGTAATGTGGTCTCTTGTTATGACTCACATACTCTCAGAATGTGAGCCACTACTTGGACACTTCCACTTTCTAAGCATGGCATAGGCTAAGACTGTTGAGTTCCTTGGGGCCCCTTACCTCACCCAAATGACCCTGGGTGATCTCTCTAGCCTAGCAGTCTGATATTGACTCCCAAGGCCACCTATGTGGGCTTTCTCTTTTATTTTCCTTGATGCATAGCTCTGTGACTTGAATAGGGCAGATTTCCTAAATTCCTCAGACTTCTAACAGCTCTTGCTAACATTCTCTGTCATGAGCCTTCTTCTAGAGCAGTGGTTCCCAACCTTCCTAATGCTGCGACCCTTGAAATTATTTTTGTTGCTACTTTGTAACTGTAATTTTGCTAGTGTTAAGAATCATGTAAACATCTGTTTTCTAATGGTCTTAGGTGAACCCTGTGAAAGAATTGTTTGACTCCAAAGGGGTCTCGACCCATAGGTTGAGAACTGTTGCTCTAGACCATGTCCCTGGCACTGTTTTAGCTTTCATACCTTTCCTGGGAAGATGATTCAAAGAGGTAGTGAGGTAGCAGAGTGTAGTAGCACACGCCTTTAGTCCCAGGCAGGTGGATCTCTATGACTTCGAGTCCAGCCTGGTCTATAAAGAAAGTTCTAGGATAGATAGCCGGAGCTACATAGTGAGACCCTGTCTTGGAACAGACAAAGAGGTGGTGAGGTGGCTGTGGATTTGAAGTTGCCTCCCACCCTCAAACATCTGTCTCCTTTGAACAAGATAAATGTATATAAAATTTTTTTCAGTCTAGAAAATTATACTTTGTGTAACTCTGAAATCCCTGCCCATGAGGCCCATCGTTACTACAGCTTCTGGATGTCTAAACTCAGTCATCCTTCCCTTCATACCTGTTTTCTGGTTTTCCTGGAAGCAATCTAAGCCGGAAATATGGGAGCATCCTAACTATGTTAGGATGTTATATGTTCCCAGCTACCTCCTCTATATCCAATGCCAAGCTCTGTTAGTGTATCTCCCCAACACCTAGCCCACCTGTGCTCAGTTGTACTTATTTCACTCAGTGAAATTATTATTCAGACTACCTCTGCATCTGGAAACTCCAGTTTCTCTTCCCAAAAGCTGCCAGATCTTTCTAGACTACAGATCTGATCCTATTACTCCCTTGCTTAAAATCTTTTTGACAGTTCCCTCCCTACATTTCTCAAACTGGTGTTCACTACTAGTGAGTTGGTAGGGACAATGTTCCAGGCATAAAAGCCATAGGCTAAAACCATCCTGGGATTTTCATTTTACTTGAGGGTAATTGAAAATGAAATGCAAATCGTGTGTGTGTGTGTGTGTGTGTGTGTGTGTGTGTGTGTGTGTGTGTAAGAGACAGCAGACAGACAGAAACACTAGGAATTGAGCCCAGGACCTCATGCATACTAGGCAAATGTTCAGTGTCAAGCTCCATTTCCTTTTTTTTTTTTTTTTTTTTTTTTTTAAAGATTTATTATTTATTATGTACAGCGTTCTGCCTGCATGTATCCCTGCCTGCCAGAAGAGGGCACCAGTTCTCATTACAGATGGTTGTGAGCCACCATGTGGTTGCTGGGAATTGGACTTAGGACCACTGGAAAAGTACTCAGTGCTCTTAACCTCTGAGCCATCTTTTCAACCCCCAGTCCTTTTTCTACTTTCATTTTGGGGCAGGGTTTCACTAAGTTGCCCAGGATGGCCTTGAACTCACTATAGTCCAGGCTGGCCTTGAATTTGGGATCCTCCTGTCTCAACCTCCCAAGTAGCTGGAATTACCAACCTGTGCTAACAGGCCTAGCCATGCAGTCATTATTAGGAGAAGATAGATTTCTAGGAATTCTGAACTGAAGGGCTTCCATGTAAGCTGGCAGACTTACTGGACCATTTAAAAGAGGCTCACATTTTATGGAAAGACAAGTAAGTCTCTTTGACTTAGTTGCCTGTCTTCTGGCTTATTTTGTTGATTTGCTACCTACTTAATCCCAAAAGTCATACAAACAGTCTATATGGCCAGTTCTTTTGGGCCCCCATTTTTTCCCTACTATTTTGCTTTATCATCCTTTCTGGTAAATAGTCAACCCTATTTCTTTTGGAGGAGGGTGTTAAACAGGTTCTCATTTAACCTAGGCTGGCATAGAACTCTTAGCAGTCCTCTTGCCTCAGCCTCCTAATCACCATGCCAAACTCCCAATCAAGTTTAAAAACTGAGCTCCCATGTTACCTCTCTGTGAGGCCTTCCAGCATCCCGATATGTCTACCAGTGCCATTCCCATCAAGAAAGGCCAGCTGTCTTTTATGCTGCAGTCTGTATCTTGTACAAATGCCTTCCAGCTCCAGCTGTACTTTATTGCCTTTCAAGTTCAAGCACCCTGAACTGTCAGAGTTTGAGTCACAGTTTTTTCATGTGAGAATGTGTGGTCTTTGGGAAGATAATGTATTTCTGGTATCCCATAGCATGTGACCCATCATAAACACTACCTACGGAAGTGTTGCTTTTGGAGTGGTAATATGAAATAACTTTGGGGTACATGCCAATAATTATAGCACTCTGGAGGCAGAGGCAAGAGGATTGCTTTAAATTGTAGGCCAGCCAGAGCTACACAGCAAGACTGTCTTAAATAAGAACTACACACACACACACACACACACACACACACACACACACACACACGTATATGTATATACACACATATATGTTCATATACATATTTGTATATGTGTATATATTTGTAGCATCATGTTTTTTGGATTTAATCCTAGCCTAGCTGCTTACTAGCTATATGGTGCAGGAACATCAGAATATTTGTGCTCCATTTCCTTATTCCCGTAGATATTCTAGAGGGTTGTTTAAAATAGTGCCTGACAATGGGAGAACCTTGATACATGTTAGCTATTCCTAGCTAGAAATCTGCTCCCTGAAGTTACTTGAATAAATGATTGACCAATCCCTCTAAGAGGCCATAAAC